CGTCGTCCTTGAAGAGGTCACGGGCGGTGGCACGAAGGTGCTTGGGGACACCGGGGTGGGCGTGGGCTGGCACCAGCATGTAGACGGGGACGTGCACCGGCTTCTTTGTCTGGGGGGGCAGGGGTGGGCGTGGGCTGGCACCAGCATGTAGACGGGGACGTGCACCGGCTTCTTCGTCTGGGGGTGCAGGACCTGGCCAGAGAGCAGGGAGGTCTTCACCTTGCGGAAGCGGGAGGGCATGGCAGAGCTGATGCACTCCTTCAGGATCTCGATGTCGTCGTCGTCGGGGGGCTCGGGGCGCTCGGCGCGGCACCGGCCCTCCAGGTACCGCTCCTCCCGCCGCTCCTCCCGCTTCTCGTGAGCCGCAAAATTCAGGCTGCTCTTCTCCGGGAAGGTGGGCATCAGCTTCAGCTCCACGTCCTTCTGGACGTAGTGCTCGTGGAGGGGCAGGGCGCTCAGGCTGGAGGCGCAGGAGAAGTTCTCGTTGGGTTTCTCCACTGTAAAGTAGACCATGGAGTCCAGGTCCTGGGGCAGCTGGAAGCGTTCCTTGAAGTCGGTGATTTCCATGAACTTCTTGACGTTGTTCTCCCACTGGATGTTGAACTGGCTGGTCTCCTTCTCTGGCTGACAGCCCAGCTCGAAGAGGGGTGTCTTGCTGCTGCTGGGGGGCATGGTCTGTCCGGGGCTGTCGGGCAGCTCGCTGGGACTGACGGTGCCGCTGATCATCTCGCTGCAGGGGTCGCTCTGGATGGAGCTGGCGATGGAGGGGCTCTCAAAGCTGCCCAGGGAGCTGACAGAGCTGCAGCGGCTCATCACCAGTGGCGTCTCCTGGATGTAGTTCTCTGAGGAGCTCGAGGGTGTGAGGTCCTCCTGGCGGGATGGGGATGATTCCCTCAGGAAGACCTTGTCACTCTCTGGGAAGGGGATGGTGATGGGCTGGGAAATCCCCACTGGTGCTGTCAGACCTGGATCTGCCACCTTCTCCTGCCTCCCGTTCTCACCTTCGCCATCTCCTTCCTCCATCTCCAGGATCTCCAGGGAGGAATCACTGTCCAGGTCGTTCTCGCTGTGGCTCTGCCCATCCAGCACATTGTCAGCTGAGGAGAGGGAGGAGAGGGAGCTGCAGCGGGAGAAGCAGATCGGGGTGTCCTCTACCGAGTACTTCTGCACTGACTCCTGCTCCGTGGTGGCCGGTGGGTGGGCAGGCAGCTTCTCCGGGATCTTGCTCAGGGTCTCAGCTGTCTGCAGCAGGGCGGGGGGCAGCCAGGCTTGCTTTCTGCCCGTGAAGGAGGGGTGGTGGCTGGCACTGGTGGCTGCACCACTCTTGGCTGTGTTCTCGAGCACAGGGACGTGCTGGTAGGACGGGGAGAGCTTGATGGTGCGGACCTGGGGGTCGGGGGAGAGCTTGCTGCCTGCCTCCTTCTTCCACTCGGGCTCCTCCAGTGCCTTGGGGCTGGGGAATGTCACCATCTTCTTGGCTCGTTCGGGCAGGTCCTGCTGCTCCGGCTTCTCCGGCTCAGCCGCGTCCCTGCCCTTGGGTTCCCCCCGCTCCGGTTTTCCGCCCAGGATGCTCTGGAGGTCGA